AAAGGAGGTAGGGGGTAGGGGGGGAAGGGCTGAGGGGGGAAGGCTTCGCAGAAGCAGGGGTGCTTCTAAGAAGCCTTCCCCCCTCGGCCCCCTCCGCGCGCGGCCGAGATGACCCCGACATCCTAGGGACATCACCGGGATAGGGGCCCTGAGGGTGGGAAGGGATCCGAGGGTGGATTTTGCGCTGCCGGAGGCTCCTCGTCCTCGGGACCCCCACCCCTCAGGGCCCCGTCTTGGAGCCACCGACTCCTCGTCTCTGCCCCTCCGCCGCCCCGCTTCCTGGGCGAGGCGCGGGCGCGCGGCCGAGGGGCCTGGTTCAGTGGCCCCCGTTGCTGCCTCTCTGAGGAGGGGAAACAAAACACACTGAGACATCTTCGCGGGCATACCTGAGACATATGGAGAGTTTTCGCGCCCCAGAAGGTATCTTACTTAGCGCGAATAACTTCGCGCCCAGGAGGGGACCAAACTTCGACGTCCCATTCAATGAGTCGTCGATCTCCCAGAAGGTAGGGGCAACTATGGGAAGTGGGGGGGAAGACGAAAGCCCAGAAGGTATGGGGAACATCGGGGGAATCCTGTGAGTAGTGTCTGGTGATTTGCGTGTCCCAGGGCCCCTTCAAGAGTGTTTTCTTCATTCAAAGAAGGGGGCCGGTTTGTCGAAGTCAAACACCAACTTCCAAGGAGCCAGCCTGCGGCCTCAGAAAGCCCCCCTTCGTTCTCGTGAGTTCCCCACGCCGGCGGGCGAGCCTGGGGCTTCCCGGGGTTGCCGGGCCACCTCGGCGCCGTTGGCCCTCCTCCGAGGGGCGCCTCGGCTGCCGAGGCCCACCCCCCTCGGCCCCAGAAGCTTGCGCGGCGACCTGGCCGTGCGGCGAAGTGCCTCGGGAGTTCGAGGTCATCGCGCGGCCTGTCGCCAGGCTCAAGTCGGGCCTGTCCCTCCACGGGAGGGGTTCTCAAACATAGTTTGAAAACAGTCAGGGGGCGATTTCTTATCATTTTTGAGCATATGTTTTAGTATCATGTTTTGACTATTTTTTTGTTTCTCGTCAGGACAGGGGGCCCCCCGAGCCTCGAAGGACACAGACTCGTGGGAGAGTGTGGGTTCGGAGGTCTGGGCGCATTTCGTGGGCCGGTGCCGACGAGCGCGACGCGCGCCGGCGGCGGCGCCATATGTGCCGCCAGGGCTGGCCAGGCGCCGACCCGAGAAGTCCGCGCAGATCTCCGAGAGAGGCACGCTCATGCCGTTGCTGCTTGTTCCCCAGCTGCTTCGCCCCATCGCTTCGCCGCCCCGCAGGTTCGAGATGCCGACCGACGACAAGGAGCACGAGCGGGGCAGAAACGAACGGATGGCAGGCGGCCCCTTTGGAGTGCCATCGTCGTCTTCGCCAGAGAGAGGCGGCAGGAGGGGGATGGGGAGGATGGGGGGGGGAGTAGGTGGGGGAGTGTTGGGGGGGGCGCGCGAAGGAGGGAAGAGAGGCGGAGGGGAGGGGGGGAAGAAGTGGGGGCGGGGATGGGATGTGGAGTTCGTGGAGAACGATGACGGGCACTTAGAGAGGCGGGCGATCATGGTAGTGCTGATGATGGAGCTGATGATTGAGTTGATGATGGATGCTGCGGATATGCTGATTGTGATTATTGTGGTGATGACGATGATGATGTTGATGATGCTGATGATGCCAGCATGTCGATGATGACAAGGAAGATAATGGTGATGCTGTTGTGGATGATGATGCTGATGATGATACTGAGGCTGATGATGAGGATGAGGCTGATGATGCTGTCCATGATGCTGATGATTTTTATGATGATGTTGATGCTTATGCTGATGGTGATGAATATGTTGATGTTGATGGTTATGATCATGATGACGAGGTTGCTGAGGCTGATGATGATACTGAGGCTGATGATGATAATCATGCTCATGATGATGAGGATCATGTTGATGCTTGCGCTGATGATCAGGCTGACGATGATTATGATGATGGTGATGCAGATGGTAATGGTGATGATGATGATGGTGCTGATGCTGATGCTGATGCTGATGATGATGCCGATGACGATACTGACGATGATGATGCTGATGATGATGATGATGATGATGATGATGATGATGATGCGGATGACGATGTGAATGACGATGACGATGATGATGATGATGATGATGATGATGATGATGATGATGATGATGATGATGGTGGTGGTGGTGGTGGTGGTGGTGATGATGATGATGATAATGATGATGATGATGATGATGATGATGATGATGATGATGATGATGCTGATGCTGATAATAATGATGACGATGCTGCTGATGATGATACTGCTTATGATGATTATGATTGTCGTGGTGGTGGTGATGATGCTGCTGATGATGATGATTATGCTGATGGTGATGATGATGGTCATGCTGCTAATGATGATGCTGCTGATGTTGATGTTGATGCTGATGGTGGTGATGATGATGCTGATGATGATGCTGATGCTCATTAGGATGCCGTTGATGATGATAGTAATGGTGATGATGGTGGTGGTGGTGGTGGTGGTGATGGTGACCATGATGATGATAACGTTTTTCTCCGCCGATCGGACATTGTCCAGGGAGGGAGGGAGGGAAAGGGAAAGGGGAAGGAGAGAGGAAGAGGAAGAAGCGGGGCCAGACACAGAGTCAGCCCGCGCCTCAGAGCGCGCCGTCGGCACGGAGGGCCGCCAGCACGCTGGACGTTGCGGCCTCCGTCGGCTTGGCCAGAGCCGCCAGCGCGTCCCGCGCCGGCATGCCGCGTCTCCCTGCCGCAGCGCCGCCGCATCCCGCGGCCCCACCCAGCGGCTCCCGCCGCCGCCGCCGCGACCCCACCGCAGTCATTGCAGGCGCCGCTTGCTCGCCAAAACCGACAGCACGGGCGACAGCCGCCTCCGCATCTGCAGCATCCACTTCCATCGCCGGCACCGTAGCCGCCGCCGCCGCTCGACCAGGCCCCGCCGCCGACACCGCGGCAGCCCCGCCTGGCTCCGCCGCCGCCGCAGGTCGCGCCGCCATCTCCTTGCGATGCAGCCCGTCCGCCCAGCTGTCGTCCTCGAGGTCGAGGTCCATCAGCTCCGCGGCCGCGGCCACGCGTGCGAGCGCCAGGCCCGCGCGCGGCTCGCCGCTATCAGCCCCAGTTTCAGCATCCGCCATAGCGGGCGGCGCCTCCGCAGCGTCACGCCGCCGCGCCGCGAGGCGCTGGCGGCGGTGTCGCCGCCTCTCCACCTGTGACGCCGGAGCAGCCGGCGCAGCAGCAGCTCCTACTCTTGGAGCTTCATCACCGGGCGCGGCAGCGCCCGTCTGCCCAGGCTCCGCCTCCGCCGCGCCCGCGAAGAGGGCGGCGCATGTAGCAGAGCGGGCGACGGCGGCAACCGTGCGCCGAGGAGCGCGCGCGAGGACCGCGGCGCGGACGGCGGCCTCCACGAGGGACACGCCGTAGGCCGAGGGAGGGAGCCCCTCCAGGCCTCGGCACCCCGCAGCGCTGCGACGACGAGACGACGAGGCCACGAGGCGAGGCCATGCGATCGCTCAAGCCAAAATGACGACGATGGGAATGCTGCTGCTGCTGCTACTGCTGCTGCTGCTGCTGATAATGATGTTGACGATGCGGCTGCTGATGCTGTTGACGGCGATTCTGGTGATTATGAGGATGGTGACGTTGATGATGATGATCATGATGATGATGATGATGATGATGATGATGATGATGATGATGATGATGATGATTATGATGATGCTGGTGGTGATGATGATGATGATGATGTTGATGATGATGGTGATGGTGATGGTGATGAGGATGCTGATGCTGATTATGATGTTGCTGCTCATGCTGCTGCTGCTGCTGATGATAGTGAGGATGTTGATGCTGGTGCTGATGATGATGCTGATGATGACGACGATGGCAATCATGATAACGTCGACGATGGTGATGATGTTGTTACTGCGGTTGATGATGGTGACGAGGATGCTGATTCTTGTTGTGATGATTGCGATTGTAATGAGGGCGATGATGATAATGATGATGATCATGATGATGATGATGATGATGGTTATGATGGTGATGGCGATGGTGACGGTGATGGTGATCCTGATGATACTGGTGGTGGTGGTGATGATGAGGATGATGAGGATGAGGACAATGATGAAGACAGTAATTGTGATTGTGATGATGTGGATGTTGCTGCTGATCATGGTGCTGCTGCTGATGATGCTACTGATGATGTTGATGATCAGGATGATGAGCATGATGATGGCGATGATGGTGATGCTGATGATGCTGATGATCATGGTGTTGGCGCTTGTGATGATGATTGAGATTCTGTTGACGCTGGTGGTGGTGATGATGAGGAGGAGGAGGATACAGATGAGGATCATGATGGTGATGGCGATGATGATGATGATGCTGCTGCTCATGATGGTGCTGCTGATGATACTGATGTTGATAATGAGGAGGAGGATGAGGATGCTGATGATGATGCAGATTATGATGCTGATGAGGATGATGACGATGGTAATCATGATGACGACGACGGTGGTGATGATGACGCTGCTGCGGTTGGTGATGGTGGCATTGGTGCTGATTATGATGATGGTGATGTTGATGCTTGATGATAATGAGGGCGATGATGGTGAGGATGCTGCTGATGATGATGATGCTGCTGATGGTGATGGTGATGAGACTGCTGATGCTGATTATGATGTTGCTGCTCATGCTGCTGCTGATGATAGTGAGGATGATGCTGACGATGCTGATGATGCTGATGATGATGATTGTGATGCTGATGTTGTTGATGATGATGCTGTTGATGATGACGATGATGATGATGATGATGATGATGGTGGTGGTGGTGGTGATGGTGGGGAGGAGGATGAGGAGGAGAAGGAGGATGTTGATGATGCTGCTGATGATGCTGATTTTGATGTTGATGCTGATGATGTTGATGATGCTGATGCTGCTGATGATGCTGATGCTGTTGATGATGATGATGATGATGATGATGATGATGATGATGATGATGATGATGATGATGATGATGATACTGTGGATGCTGATGATGATGATGATGATGATGATGATGGTGATCATGATACTGTTGATTGATGATGCTGATGCTGCTGCTGCTGATGATGATGATGATGATGATGATGATGATGAGGAGGAGGAGGAGGAGGAGGAGGAGGAGGAGGATCATGAGGATGATGAGGATGTCGAGGATGAGGGTGGAACAGCATGAGGAGGGTGATGAGGAGCACAGAAAGTGCTACCGTGCCGATGCTGGTTGGGGAGGCCGGGGGGCGCGGAGGAGGAGGCCGGCCCCCCTGCCAGGCAGAAAGATCCGCCTGCGGATGGCCGACCTCACGGTGAAGTCCGTGCAGGCCCGCCGCCTTCTGCTTCTCTCACGCGGTGGAGCGGAAAGCCAGGGGAAGGGCGAGGGCCGCAAAGCCAAGGGAAGGGCAAGGGGCAGGGGGCCGCCCCCGAGACGACGACGGCGACGAGCGGCGACGCCGATCCCAACGCCCACGGCGGCGGGGACGGGGGTGAGAAGGGGGGGCCCTTTTGCCTTCCCCCCCTTACAGCGGCGCGCCCGTGTGGGGGGGGGAGGAGGCGGGCGCCCTCAGAAGGCGGCGGGGCTTCCCAGAAGCCCTCTCGCCTTTTGAGAGGTTTTCTGCCTTTTCGGGGAAGGCTCTGGGGCAAGCCGCAGGCGCTTTCCATGGGGGATGGGCGGGGGGGGGCGCCCTCCGCCTTCTCCACCCACTCTCCCGGAGGCTGTTGCTGCCTTTCTTTCTCTCCCCTTTCTGCTTCACCTCAGCCCTGTACAGCGCACAGCTGTAAGAGCCCGTTTCTTTATTGCTTGGGGCATGACGGGCGTCATGGCCCCCGCTCCCTCCCCCCTATGACGTAACGCTCCCCCCCCCAGTGCGCTCCGGGCACTGCCGCCGTGCGCATTGGGATCCGCGTAGGTGTCCGCGTAGGAATCCGCAGAGGTGTCTGGTCCGCAGGAGTCGTCGTCGTCGTCGTCGTCGTCGTCGTCGTCGTCGTCGTCGTCGTCGTCGTCCGTCGTCGTCGCTCGTGGTTCGTCTCTCGTCGCTCATCGTCGTCGTGCGCGCGGACGCGGCTGGAGCCAGTTTTTTAGTCCGGGCCGATGACGGCAATCATCTGGGGGGGGAGGGGTCGATGACGTCACGTTTCGCGCCGGCGGCGTCTGGGAATGCTTAGGAATGACGGAAGACGGGTAGCACGAACATGTAGGTGGCGATATGCACCGCAACGCCTGTGTACATCACAGTGCCCGCGTGCACCGCAGCGCTTGTGTACACCACACCGCCGATGTACACCACAGCAGCCGCGTGCAACACAGCGTCAGTTTGTGCCACCGTGCCTGCGGGCACAGCAGCTCCTGCGTACACCACAGCGCCTCCGTACCCCACATCAGCCGTGCGCAACACAACACCAGTGTACACCACAATGCCTGCGTGCATTGCAGTGCCTGTGTACGCCACGGCGCCTGTGTGCACCACATCAACCGTGTGCAACACAGCACCATTGTTGTGTATAGAATTTCAGAAGGGATCCTTGTGACAAAATGGAGCGCGTGTGGATTCCAGAGAAAACAATGGAAAACAAATCCTCATGGACAAAGGAGCGCCGCTGGAATCTACGAGTCCCCCCGAGTCCGCCCGCATCACCCTAACTCCCATTTGCGTCCAGGAGGCTCCAGCTAAACTGGCCGTCCGAGAACCAAGTGGACCGATTCAATCGACCATTTTGCGGTGCACGCTGAGATGCGCACGTGCGTTGTAACGCCAAGCCGCACGACAGAGGGGTAAGAAGGAGGGGAAGGAGGAGGAGGAGGAGGAGGAGGAGGAGGAAGAGGAGGACGAGGAGGAGGAGGAGGTGGAGGAGGAGGGAGGAGGGAAAAACGTCGCATTCGATTATCAGAACTTTCCTGGCGTGGCGTTTAGTTGTCCGCAGCAAATCGTGACGTACATGCTCCTTCTACCTGTCCTGTGCACGCAGGCGCTGTGGTGTACACCAGCGCTGCGTTGCACGCGGATGCTGTGGTGTAGACAGGCGCTGTGGCGTGCACAGGCGCTGCGGTGCACGCAAGCACTGTGGTGTACACAGGCGTTGTGTTGCACATGGCTGCTGCGGTGTATGTACACCGGCGCTGTAGTGCTCCCAAGTATTGTGGTATACGCGGGCGGTGCATTGCACACGGCTGTTGCGGTGTACGCAGGCGCTGTGGTGCACACGCGCGGTGTGGTGCACGCGAGCGTTGTGGTGTACACAGGCGGAATGGGCAGATCGCCACTTACATGCTGCTCGCGTCGTCGTCGTCGTCGTCGCTCGTCGCTCGTCGCTCGTCGCGTCGTGCGCGCGGGCGCGGCTGTGGTGCCGGAGCCACTCGGCGGGGGGGGGCGTCACGTCATACCCCCCCTCCACGTCGCAACCCCAGCGCCGGCAGCGTGTGGCTGTTGCTGCCCGATCGGCTTCGCGCTGGGCGTGCTCGTGTCCGCTCTGGCTGCTCTGGGGCGGGTGGCGCAAAATGCCGGGAACAGCAAAGCGACACCAACAGATCGGGCGGGCGGCAATGGGAGGTGACCCAAATGGGGGTGTCGAAAGAGGCCCTAAAGGGGCCCTATTGTGGGCACCAATTGGCTCCGCAGGGGCCGCAAAGGGCCCCTCTTGGGTCCTTCTCTTCACCCTCCGTTTGGGTCACCCCGCATTGCCGCCCGCCCGAAAAAGAGAGAAGATGCGTCCACCTCTGCCAGCCCTCCGTTGCAGCCTGGCCACAATGGCCGAGCGGCCTCCCAGAGTAGTGAGGAGGGGGGATTGGGAAAAGGAGGTCTGCGAAAGCTGCCGCATGCAGCCAGCTCCAGCTTCGCCGCCGGGCGCATTCCTCCATACCTGGGCGCCTCCGGCGCCAGGAACCCAGCCACGTGAGCGAGTTCCTTGACCCCTCCCTGCGTCAGCCCTGGTCGAGATGACTGAAGACCTGCAGCTCCGACGACGTCGTGGTTTTTCTCAGCGTGGACCCCTGGAACTCTGGACCTTTTCTTCCCAAGTGCTGGTTTCTCATCCCAAATCCTTTTGTTGAAGGTCTGGGGGCCCTGTGAGGGGCGCCCTGGAGGCAGAGAATTGTCAGACGCCGTCCGTCGTGATGTTTGTCTGAAGTCGGGCCTGTCCCCCTACAGGAGGAATAGTTACAAATAGTCAAAAATAGTTCGGGGACATTTTTTGTGTGTGATTATTTTTGATTATTTTTGGAGTATTGTTTCACAATTTTTTCATTTTCGCCCAACATCCCCCTGTAGGGGGACAGGCCTGACCTAATGTTTGTCACGAGGCGAGGAAGTGTGTGTGTGTGTGTGTGGAGCCCCACTTGGGAGACCAGTCTTGGCCCCTGGCGGCTTTGAATCCTGAGTTTACTCCAAATCTCTTGTCAATTGACCCCCACTAAAAAGCCGGACCCCCCTCCAAATGCGACCTGATATTCCGGACCCCCTTCTTCGACGGGGCGCCTTACTAGACCAGACCCCCTAAGCTCCAATTCAAAGAAATCGCCCTAATAAACCCGACCCCCCCCAGTTGCAAAAAAGGTGCCTTCAAAAACTGGACCCGGGGGACGACTACTGAGGGATTTGGAGTACCGCGTCAGAACAGGGCAGCGTCAGCATCGTCTTATCGATCACCATCCCCGCTGGACCATCGTCTCTCAGCCCCCCCCCCGGCGGGGAGGGGCCCTGCGATGCCCGGAAGGAAGCAGCACATCCTCATCTGGGGGGGAGGGTCGGCCAGTGGGGCCAAGGCCGCGCCAGTGGGGATAGGGATCGGTCGCGCGATGCTCGGAGCGGCGGGGCTTTTGCGGAGGGGCGGAGAGGGCGGAGAGGGCGGAGAGGCGGAGAGGCGAAGGCGGAGGGGCAGAGGCGCAGAGGCGGAGCCGAGGGGGCGGGGGGGGGGCACCGCCCGGTGTCCGCCCCACGCTGCGCCGCGGCCTCCTCGTCGTCGTCGTCGTCGTCGTCGTCGTCGTCCTCGTGGTTCCTCCTCGTCGACCTCGGCCTCGTCCTCGTCGTCTCCCTCGGCCTCCTCGTCATGGTCGCCGTCCGCCTCCGTAGCAGCTTTGGCTCAAGGCCAAGATGGTTTTGCTTCATAACTGACTGAGCGGGGTCTCCCCTCCCCGATCTTCAATTGGCCTCACGCGTTTGCAGCAACAAGCATGGGTGAGCTGCCACCCATTCCATCGTACCCTCACGGCCTTGCTGGCGGCCTCCATATCAGTGCGCTTGGCTCTCATCGGGGTTGCCTCGCCTTACATACATCCGTGTTGATCGCCCCCGTCCTGGTCGAAATTCCACGGCGCAGTTCTGTTATAGGGCTTCCCGCGGCAACAACCGGTCCCGTTCTTCGAGCTCCATTTGGTGCCCCAGACGTCGCAGTACCAGGCGCAGTGGTGGGGAGGCAAGCGGCTCTCGCAGTGATGAATGAATCGTGTTCCGTCGGCTCCAGTGACCAGCGGAGAGAGAGCCTCGCGGACGTAATGATAGAGAGATGCGTGATGATAGGGAGCGGCGACAACGACATGATGACCGCGACAGCCGAGTTCGAGGCAGAGATCGTGATAAACAACGTCCTGATACCTCAGGAGGCCCCGCTATTCCGACGCAACATCAACAGCGAACACAACAGCTACTGGACGATCAACTGCTGGCACAAGAAATTGGGTTTTCGCCACCTCTCCTGATGATGAACGGCCGCGGGATACTCTCCAACAGCGTGGCCCGTGGGAAACACCGGCATCGGCTACGCGAGTGGACACCCCCATGCAGGACGCGGAGGACAATCGCATCCTCTTCCACCGCATGCGCCAGTTTCAGAAGTCTCTCTTGAGCACCGCCTCGCCGACCTCTTTCCCGCGCAGATGGAGCTTGCCACCATTCGACTTTATGCAGAAGCTAGCTCACCCGTTAAAGGAGCTCAACCAACACTGCATGGACAACTTCATGTGGCTCTGGGACAACTACGACAACGCGAAGTCAGCCTGGAGGCCGTCATTCAAGCTACCGCACATGCCAAAATTAACAGGGCACTGCGTACCAAGACGACGGCGCCAGGCCAAGTGCTCCACCGCGTTAGCGACCTGGCAGTCTACCATCGACCGACCACAACCAAAAACGACCCGGGGAGGTTGGAACGGCCCATACCCACTCGCACGCAATGATCCCGAACGCTGCCAAACTATTGCATGGACCGGCCATCGCGAGGTAGCCGTTCAGTGTCCAGATGTACGCCGCACCTTCTACATCGAAGTGCTGATGGTCCGAGAACTTGGTCCTGACAAAACAGCGTTTCGCACAATGCTTGCGTTCGTCGCGAGTCTGTCTGCAGGGAGACCTGCGATGATCTATGCATACGTACCAACCAAGCAGGGGACTTGCGACTTTAAGCCCTCGCCAGAGGTACACTTTGCACTCCAGTGCCTGCTCCGGAATTACTTCAGGATCGAACAGTTTCTCAGTCCGACCAGGCAGGAACATTCACCGACTGCCAGCTGCCACCTACGCCGACAGTGGCACCCTCCTAATCTACTCTGACAGCGATATTAGTCCAGGGTTCCATTACTACGAGTCCGATGGCACCGCCCTCGACATGTGCACAATCACTGGGTCTACGCGTGCAAGTGTGACGCAGTGTCCCAAGTCATCCAAACCTATGGCTGGCTTCGATAAGGACCTCTCGAAGTTCGAGGACAACGCGGGCGGTCCTGTCCCTGGCGGAGACGCTCAGCCGGCGGAGACGCCTCCTGAACAGCATGCTCCACCAACGGGGCGCCCATGTGAGGCCGATCTGCAGGCATCTGTCCATGAAGCCCGGTACACGTAATTGCGCGAAGAGCTCGACCATGTTGAGTTTGCGCTTCTAGAAGCACTGCGCGCCAGACCGACGACTATGATCTCATGCCAGTTGGTCATGATCACCGTCGCCAATGACGGCCCAGGCGCCCGACATCGCGGAGACGCGCGTTACCGCGACGAGGATGTATGCAACGTCCCCGTTGTTCCGCACTGAGATGGCGACTTTGCGATCGGCAGTGGCAACCGCGGCCGGCGCGCAGAGCTGCGTTTCGCGGCTGACAGTGCCAAGGTGGCGATCTCTGGTCAGCAGCGCAACTCACTGTGATACGATCGCCTTATTTGCGACTCTGCGGGCCTACGCCTCTGCCGCTTCTATGCGCGCGGTAGCGGTGGAAGAAGACGACGTGCTAGCCGCAGTTGATCCAAGCTCATTTAGCACAAGTAGCCGAGGCCATATATACAGAACAAAACATTTGCTTCGACAGCAAGTGTTTCAATCTGGCCTCCGTCGCCGAAGCTTCGAACGCCATGGCTTCTCGACGCGATGACGCATGGAAGTTCGCCAAGAACGACAAGGGGGCAATCGTCGAGGCGATTCGCTTCCGACTGGTTCTTCGAGGATTGATGGATGGAGGCCTTCGACGTCGACGCCTTCCTAGGGGCGGCGCGAAGGGCGAGCCGGCGTCTGCTGGCCGGTGAGTGGGCTTGCCATCCTGACTGGATCATTGCGTCGGTGGATATAGACTTTTAAGAGCCTCGCGAACCGCGAGCTCGCCAGAGCTACCGGGGACCAGGAAAGCGTCGCGCGCTTCCCCTTCTGTTCCAGCATTCCCGGCCCCAGCGCGACGAAAACAAGCGCTGCCTGCAGTGTCGTGGACCAGGCGCAGGGGCGACGGGCGCCCCGCGCGACTTCTCTTCGAAGTTGCGCAAGGGCGCGCGCGGCTTTAGACTCTGGATGACGTCCCGCGACGAAGAGGTCGGAACAGCGGAGGCGCTGTTGGCGGACAAACACGTTGACGATACAAATACTGACTGGCGAGGAAGAGACGATCGCCCGCTACCTGAAATGCGTCGACCACGCGAGTGGCGCGCGCAAGCTCAACGAACGCGCTTGCACCAACTACGCCGTCATATGTTCGAAGTCCGACACGGGCGACGTCACTTCGGATCAGGGGGAGCACGTTAAACGACTCCGCCCCATCCAACGCCCAGATCTCACGGGTGCGGAGGCCGAGGAACAGGCTGTTAAAATTGTCGCAGACATGTGTGTACGCCTCCGCGGGGCACTGGCAAGCGCCATCATGGCCCGCTCCTGGCCGATGGTCTACGTCGTCGCACTGCGACGGGCGCAGGAAACGACGAAACTGAGGGTGCGACGAGTTAGCGCGATCACGCGCAAGCAGCGTATCCTGCTATGAAGTTCACCTTGGAGCTCGATCTCCACGGCGACTCAGGCTGCCTACGGTTGACCGGAAACGCTGAAGACGAGACCAGAGCGCATGGCATCAGGGGTGCCAGCCTTCTCCGGCGTTGGAACGCGCGCGATGGCAAACCTGGCGCACATCTGGTAGACGCCTACTGACACGGACATCCCGAAACCTGGCGCACACCTGCGTACACACCGGTATCCTTCACGGACATCCCGAAAGCAGGGCACCGCGCGCATACACAATTGTTTGAAATGTATGGTCTGATGTTTTCCGCATCAGGGTGCTGATCTGGCTGATCTTGGTTGTAATCAGGGCAATCCTCCTCCTCCTCCTCCTCCTCCTCCTCGTGCTCCTCCTCCTCGTGCTCCTCCCCGCGCTCCTCCTCCTCCTCCTGGCCCCCCCGCCCCGCGGAGGGATGGGGACGTGCGCGCCCGCGGGGCGCCCGCCAGGAGCTCAACAGACTGGCCCACTTCATCGGCGTGGACGTCAGGGGCTGCATCGAGAAGGCAGCCTCATGAGGAAGAGGAGGAGGAAGAGGAGGAGGAGGAGGAAGATGACGAGCAGGGGAGGAGCAGAGTTTTCGCGGGGGTGAAGAAATCATGTTCGTGTTTTGATGTTTGCAAGCGGTCCGCCGACTGTTTGGGACGACGTCATCGCGAACTTCGAGGCCCCCACGGGCCTTGTCCACGGCCTTTCGGCAGTGGGGAAAAATTCGCTTTGCAACGAAACCAGCTTCTTTTTAAACGTGAGGCGACTACGAACAACACGTTTCAATGAACGAGATATATGGGGGGACCTGCAGCACACCTAAACGATTCGCCCGGGGCCTGACTATGGCGCCCCGAAGCGTGTGATTGGTGTCTGGGAATACGGGAAACGAGCGGGAGGCGGTATGCGAACGCTGCCGTTGGGGCCTTCGGTAGAGCTCCGTGGTGGCCACGACACGTGTGAGGGGTGTGCCGAAATGGTCGGGGGGAGGTATGTGAAAGCTGCCACTGAGGCCTTCGGTGGAGCTCTTTGGGGCCACGAGACGTGTGAGAGGTGTGCCGAACTGGTCGGCGGGTTGTATGAACACGCTGCCAGTGGGGCCTTCGGTAGAGCTCCGTGTGGGCCACGAAACGTGTGAGGGGTGTGCCCTCATGGTCCGGAGGCAGTATGCGATCGTTGCCATTGGGGCCTTCGGTGGAACTCTATAGGGTCCACGAAGCGGTTGATGGGGTGTGCCCTCATGGCCGGGAGGCAGTACGCGATCGCTGCCGTTGGGGCCTTCTGTGGAGCTCTATAGGGTCCATGAAACGTTTGATGGGTGTGCCGAGATGGTCTGGGGGCGGTTCGCGAACGCTGCCATTGGGGCTTTCGGTAGAACTGGAGGCCACGAAACGTGTGAGGGGTGTGCCGAAATGGCCGGGGAGCGGAATATGAACGCTGCCACTGGGTTCTTCGGTGAAACTTCTTAGGGGCCACGAAATGGTTGAGGGGTGTGCCGAGATTGTCGGGGGGAGGTATGTGAAAGCTGCCACTGAGGCCTTCGGTTGAGTTCCTTGGGGGCCACGAAACGTGTCAGGGGTGTGCCGAGATGGTTGGGGAGCGGTATGCGAACGCTGCCGCTGGGGCCTTTGGTAGAGCTCCGTGGGGGCCACGACACGTGTCAGGGGTGTGCCGAGATGGTCGGGGGGCGGTTCGCGAACGCTGCCATTGGCACCTTTTGTGGGGCTCCTTGTGAGGCCACGAAGCGAGGAGGAGGAGGAGGATGAGGAGGAGGAGGAGGAGGAGGAGGAGGAGGAGGAGAAACAACAAGGAGGAGACGCGCGGAGCTGAGTTCGAGACGAGGGCCCAACTCCACAGAAGGTGTGAGGAAAAAGCTGTTCAAAACGAGCGATCCGCACACTATTCGGGAACACATGTTCGCAACTGACGCTTGGACCATTTATGGTCCGAGGAGGAAGAGGTGGCGATACCGCTCCACTTCCCTCGGTTTCGTCGTTGGGGGCCTCTTGGGAGGCCCTCGTTGCCCCGGCTCGCTGCGCGCTGGAGTCTTTGTCGGAGCGCACTCGGGGAGCTGGTCCTGGGAATAGCGGAGTCTGTAGAATTTGGTCCCCAAAAACTGCGGAGGAGGACGAGCAGGAGGGGGAGGAGCAGGAGGAGGGAGGAGGAGGGAGGAGGAGGAGGGAGGAGTGAGGAGGGAGGAGGAGGAGGAGGGGGAGGAGGAGGAGGAGCAGGAGGAGGGAGGAGGAGGGAGGAGGCGGCACGGTACAGAACACGGCGTGAGCACACGCTCGCGGAGGGCCGCGCAGACGTTCGTGGGTCGGCGCCGGGTCCCCTGGCGGCGTCTCTGGCGTGCGCCCCTGTCGCCCCTTTGCGCGCCAGGGAGGGGTGCCCGGCGCCATTCCGAGAAGTCCTCGCGTCATCAGTTGATGTATGCTTCGGGGGCGGAAAAGAGGGGGGTGATGACTAGGGGGGGGTGGATATCATGGCGGGGGCCATGATATCTCCCCAGATTTCACGGCGCCTCTTCTTGTTTCATTACGTCCCTGGCCCCCCCGCTGGGCCGCGCACATGCCGCCGGTCATGATTTGCACCCCCCCCTCTTGGACACCCCCCTCTTGGCCGCTCCCGTATGCTCGCCAGGGGTGGACCCAAACGGCGTTTTGGCGATTCCGTGGGCCGTTCTCGCTTCGATTTCGTTTTGCGTGAAAGGCGGGTGGAAGGCAAAACGAGGGAAAACGAACACAACACGAAAACGAAAAACACCGTTTAGGTTCAGCTCTGGCATGCTTCATGCAGCTGTTTTTTATGCAGTCGAGGGGTTCCGTCGGGTACAAAACGGCCGGCACGAAGGCCACCAGCATCCCCGCAGCTCCAGAGGGGGGCCCGCACGCCGCTCGTGCCAAAGTTCCCCAAGAAAGGAGGGAATGAGGGGAGAAGGGGAGGAGATCGGGAGGGATAAGTAAACGAGTGGCGCGTCGTCTATCAAGCTGTGCGTGTTACTCATCTGCTTCTTGGACACAGCTACTTCTTCAGCAGCAACGGGGTCCTCAGCTGTTTTGATATTTGAAGGTTTGGGGGGGGAAGGGAGGGCGAGAGCATGGGTAGGGAAGGAGGGATCTGGTGGTGGAGGTGGCCTCTCCCTTTCCTCTTGCTTCTTCCCTTTTCTCGAATTCCCTCCTCATTCTCCTGAGAGGAGGAGGAGGAAGCAAACCTAAGATGTATCAGCGATGCTGCAAGTCACCCTCCCGTCCCAAGTTCCTTCCTCACAGGCTCCTAGAAACATGTGTCTGCTCACTGCGCGAAGCCCCCCCCCCCCCCCTTGAACAGCGCGCGCCCCATGGGACCGCAAGCCAGGCGGGATTTTTGTTTTGAAGACACGCGCCCTCGATTGTTCGAGCTATCGCGAACTGTACGCGGCGAGACAGCACAGCTCGAGGGAGCGCCAAGTGGCAGCCCTGCTTCAAACGGGGACCATCCTGCATCCCTGTAGCTGGTGCACCATTACACGCCGGTCGCTGAAAGTATATATTTTTAGATTCCCAGATCCCGATCTACTTCAAGCGCCTTCCTACTTCAAGAATCGACATGCTTTTGCTGTGTTTTGTTATTCTCTGGGAGGACCTGGACCCAATCTACTATATCCGCCTTCCTACTTCATGCTTCTACCTACTTCTTCCGACCGACGTGTAAAGTTTTTTCGGGGATAACGAGGACCCCAGGTAAGGGGACCCGGTTAATAGTAGGGCCCCCGAGCTCCTAAATTGGCCAGGATCACTGAACCAGGTTTTCCCTGGCTGGTGGTTTTCGGGTGACGGCAGTTCCGGCTAGTGGAAGGGGGTGGGGGGGGCGTCCCCCAGTACACATCACTAAATCAGGTCCCACTAAACCCAGTTCTGCCAATGCCCGATTTTTTGGCTGTACAATCAAATGACGTCTTAGGCGAGTGCCCCCATTCAGAACATGTAGCCGCCATCGGTTCGTGCAGCTGTAGCGCAAGTATGCACGTGTGGTATTGTTCGATGAAGTCCTAGGTAAGAGACCCATTTTGAAAACGTTCGGGGCTCCATTTGTGCAATTTTTGGTGAGTTTAAGCCGACTGTGTCCGGCGCGGTGGCGAGAACCACATCTGAACAAAGACCAGTCCTCTGGCCGTGTAATTGTTGCCAGCTTGTCAGACGAATGTGTGCGGCGCTAAGGTGAGATTAGCTTGCAGACCACCAGCACTCGATCTGTATGTCAGTTGCAAGGTTGATGGCGAATATGCGAGGGGATGAGGGGATAACCACACCTTTGAAACGACGAGCGATCCATTAGTCGAAGTGTTGAACGTTTTCAGCGTCGGCATAGTTGTTGTTAGGAAGTCTCACGCAACACGCCCCCTCTGACCTCCGGATGTTTCTGGTGGTGCAAGAGGGAGTATGATGAGAAGATCGATGAGCAAGGATTTGAGGTGTTTTGGGGAACGTTTTTATTTGTGACACGTGTATGCGCTATCCCATGACATATTTGTCGCACCGTGTTTGGCGGACTGCTCTTGACTGCATCTGGGACGCTTTTGGCGCACCACCCCAACTTTTTTATATGGTACTTTGATTATGCGTCCTCTGGATGCACGGTCCACTGACTGACTGACTGACTGACTGACTGACTGACTGACTGACTGACTGAGTGAGCGTAGGCCTCTGAAAGGCAGCTTCAGGTTCCGGGCATCCCCTATCCATTTCCCTTTCCCCTCCCCCTCGGCTGCAACTCCTCGCAGGTTACATTCAGCACCGGCACTGGCTTATCCGCGACTGAAGACTGGCCCACTCTGTCCGACTCCCGCTTAATCCGGTTCAGTTCCGTTTCCTCCTTGGGTCTTTCATTTTGCGTACTTAGGTTCCATGGCCCTCGAACCGGGCGTGATGGCTCGTCCAATCTTCTCTGCACGAAGATCACCGCCCACCAAACCACCCCAACCCAACCCGAAGGTCCCGATTTGCCCTCCATTTCCAGTGGGGGGGGGTCGGGGAACATCGGAAAAACACGTGTGGAACCCTTACCCCCCCCAACCCGAAATTCGGGTCTTCGGGTTGGGTTGGGGTGGTCTGGTAGGTAGTCAGAAGCCGCCCTCAGGAGTTGCCTCCCGCCCTCTCCCTGCCGCCCCCGCCGCTCGCCGCCTCTCGCCTGCTCCTGGACAGGGGCTCGCGCGGTGCGCGGCCGCCGCTCCCGCCTCGTGCCCCTCTCCTCTCCGCGGGCCCGCCTCCTCGGAGGTGGGCGTAGGTCGGGCCTGTCCCTCGACAGGAGGAATCTTCCCAAATAGCGAAAACACATAGGCTGGGGACGATTTCCTTTCTGACTATTTGTGATCGCTGTGGAGGTCTGTTTTGACTGCTCTTTCTTTTTCGTCCAAAACGGGCCTGCAGGGGGACATGCCCGACCGAAAGGTTGGCCACCGTCCTGCTCCTGCAGCTGCCACTGCCCCGCCCCTGTTGTGCCTGCTGCGCGGTGGTGCAGCGCGTGCGCGCGCTCTGGGACGAGGCCGGCCTCCGCGTGCGGCGGCGTCGTCTGCGTGGGCGGGGGTCCGACGAGGGTCTTCGACTGCACTGTCTGTTGCAGTGCGCATTCTCCCGCGAACTCTCAGCTGGTATCGTGTAACCGACCCCCATCCCCATCTTTATAGTCCCCTCGAGGCCTCCAGCAACTTACTCCCCAATTGGAGATACGCCTCTCGAAACCCGAAGGGAACGGCCCATATCCCCATCTGGGGGGTAAATCGGCCAGTGGGGCCCAGGCCACGCCGCTGGGGATGGGGATCGGTTAAACGATGCTCACTACTGCCGCTGATGCTGCTCAGCTTGAGAGTGGCCGCCCGCGCGCCCACAGACGACCACGTCGACGACCACGACGACGAAGACGACGACGACGAAAACGACGACAGCGTCTCACGCACGCCGAAGGCTCGGCGGTTTCTCCCCTGCTGGCGCCGTTCCGCTCGGGAGTGGCCGCCCACGCGCCCACAGAAAGAGATCACGGACCGCATCGCCGCCTCCGAGAAGGTCGAGATCATCCTCGCCGAGGGCGAGGAACCCGACCAGCCGCGCCAGCGCTTCGCCAAGGGGAGGGCCCTGGCTGCACAGGCGAGGAGAAGGAGGAGCAGGAGGAGCAGGAGGAGCAGGAGGAGGAGGAGGCGAAGACGAGGAGGAGGACAAGTATTAGTGAGGGGGCCGTCTACAGGAAGGGGGGGCCACCCCAAAACGCTAACAGCCAGGCCGGGGGGCACAACTAAAATGTAATATTCAAAATTACGTTTTTGTCCGAAGGCATGGTTTGGAAAATCCAGAATTATGGTTTGTTACTGTTTTTGCCCTGAAGGGCTGTGTGTGCTTGAATTCAGAAATCGTGATTTTATTGTGGGAAGGCTTCGCCTCTTTCGCCCTTCTGGAAGTGTTGTTGCACGATGAACGCCACGTGCGAAACATGTTAGTGGGGAGTTGCGTGTGTAGTTTCATTCGCGGTTGATCGCGTAGTTGGTTTCGTTACTGCTCGCATCCGTCACGGTCCACCCAGCAATAGTACCCAGGCGAAATGTCTTGATCAGGGAAGCGCGGGAACATTCCGTGTAACGAAGAGAAATTGATGGGGAAGCCGTCAAACTGAATTTCGCGGGTCAGCCCGGGCACGCCCGGGAGTGAATGCACATTCGCGGCCCTTGCCGAAACAGGCAGGGCGCAGAAGAATGATGAGGAGGCGGGGGAGGGGGAGGTGGGGGGAGGAACGCGAGGAGGACGAGGACTGAAAGGAAGAAGGGAGGAGCGACGGGAGTAGCAGGAGGGGGGCGAGCAGAAGTACGATGACATTAACTGCGCAAGCTTTGGGGGGAGGAGGAGGAAGAGGAGGAGGAGGAGGAGGGGGAGGAGGAGGGGGAGGAGGGGGATGAGGAGGAGGAGGAGGAAAGGAGGAGGAGGAGGAGGAGGGGGAGGAGGATTGGGCGAGGAGGAGGAGGAGGAGGAGGAGGACGACGACGACGACGACGAGCGTGCAACGCGCCCACGCGCGTGCGCGCGAGGTGTGAATTCTGCATTGTTCTCAGCGGTCTGGCAACGAAGAGGCCTGGAAACGAAGGGGTTCTTGGGCGGTGACCGAATGGGTGTTCCAGTTAGCGCAGGGCTGCAGCGCGCCAGCCAAGTGGCTCAGCGCGCAACGCGCCCGCGCGCGCGCGCCGGCGCGAGCTGTGAATTCTGTATCATTTATAATAGAAGGGCCGCAATGTTGGCGTGGAAGCTCAAGTGGTCCCCTAGCGGAGACCGATTGGATTTCCGATTTACCATGGGTTTGTAGCACGTCGGCGAAGTGGCTCAGCGCGCAACGCGCCCGCGCGCGCGCGGGCGCGAGCTGTGAATTCTGCGCCATCCACAAAAGAAGGGCAGTCGTGCTGTCCTGGACACTAAAGTGGCCCCCCAGCGGTGACCGACTGGATTGTCAAATTGGCATGGGGGTGTAGCAGGTCGGCCAAGTGGCTCAGCGCACAAGTCGCCCGCGCGCGCGGGAGCGAGCCGCCACTCTGCGTTATCCAGAAGAGAAGGGCCGCCATGGTGGCTTGGGAGTTCAAGCAGCCCCTTAGTGGTGGCCGATTTCTTTTTCGAAATTAACATGGGCTTCTAGCACGTCGGCCAAGTGTCTCAGCGCACAGCGCGCCCACGCGTGCGCGCGCGAGCTGTGAGTTCTACCCGCAATAGCAGGGCCACCATGCTGGCCTGGGAAATCAAGCGGCCATTTAGCGGTGACCGATTGAATATCCGAGATAGCTCGAGTTCGTAGCGTTTTGGTTAAATGGTTCAGCGTACAACGGGCCCACGCGCGCGCGCGCGCCCGCTTGCGCTCGCGCGCGCGAGCTGTGAATTCTGTATCACCAACCATAGAATGGCCGCCACGTTTGCTTAGAAACTTAAGTGGCCCCTTAGCAGTAACCGACGGACTTCCAAGTTAGCAAAAGGTCGTAGCATGCTGGTTAAGTTGTGCAGCGCACAGGGCGCCCGCGCCTGTGCGCGCAGGCGCGAGCTGTGAACCCTGTATTCTCCGCAATGCAAATGCAGCCACGTTGGCCTGAGAACTCAAGTGGCCCCTTAGCGGTAGCATGTCGGCCAAGTTGCCCAGCGTACATGGCGCCTCGCGCGCGCGCCCGCGCGCGCGAGTTGTGAATTTTCGTGCTACCCGCAGTAGAAGGGCCGCCATGTTGGCTTGCACACTCAAGTAGCCCCTTTGCGGTGGCTTCCAGCATGTCAGCCAAGTGGCTCAGCGCGCAACGCGCCCCCGCGCGCGCGGGCGCGAGCTGCGAACCCTGATCCAAAGTAGAAGGGCCGCCGTGTTGGCATGGAAACCCGGATTGATTTCCAGGTTAGCACTGGTTTGTGGCATGTTGGCCAAGTGGTTCAGCGCTCAACGCACCCACCCGCGCGCGCGCGAGTTGCGACTTCTGGATCACTTGGTTACCCATAATAGAAGGGCCGCCGCGATTGCCTGGAAACCGAAGTGCAACCCTATCGTTGGCTGATTCGATTTCCGAGTAACCATGAGTTCGCAGCGTGCCGATTAAGCTGTAAATTATTTATTGCACGCAATAGAGTGGCCGTCATGTTGGCCTGGAAGCCATAGTGGCCCCTTAGCGGTGGCCGATTGGTTTTCCCAGTTTACCTAGGGTTGCCGCACGTCGGACAAGTTGCTCAGCGTACAACGCACCCGCGCGCACGCGCGGGCGCGAGTTGTGATCTCTGTATCGCTCACAACAGGAGGGCCGCCGTATCGGCTTGGAAACGCAAGTGGCTCTCCGGCGATGGCCGACTGGATTTTCAATGTAACATGGGTTTGTAGCATGTCGCACAAGTGGCTCAGCGTAAAGGACGCCCACGCGCGCGCGCGAGCAGTGACTTACGAACTATCCACACCAGAAGGGCCGCTATGTTTGCTTGGAAACTAAAAGTTGCCCGTTGCGGTAGAAGATTGAAAATCCTAGTTAGCATGTGTTTGTGCCATGTTGGCCAAGTAGCTCAGCGTGCAACGCGCCCGCGCGCGCGGGCGCGAGCTGTGAACTCTGTATCATCCACGACAGAGGACCGCCGTGCTGGCCTGGCAATTCAAGCGGCCCCGCGGCGGTGGCCGAATGGATTTCCAAGTTAACATGGGGTTGTTGCATGTCGGCCAAGTGGCTCAGCGCACAACGCGCGCACGCGCGCGCGCTGTGCATCCTGCACTACCCACAATAGAAGGGCCGCTGTCTCCTGGAAACTCATGTGGCCCCTGAGCGGTGACCGATTGGAATTCCGAGTTCACATGGGCTTGTAGCATGTGGCTGAACGCACATAGCGCCCGCGCGCGCGCGCCCCCCCCCCCGGCGCGTGCGAGCTCTGAAAGCCGTACTACCCGCAATATCGGGTCCTTTATGTTGGCATGGAAGCTCAAGTGGCCCCTCCGCAGTAACCGATTGAACTTCCGAGTTAACATGGGGGTTGTCGCGTATCGGCCAGGTGGCTCAGCGTACACGTCGCCCACGCGCGCGCTAGCTGTGAACTCTGTATTTTCCACCGTACAACGGCCACCATGTTGGCATGGAAAATCTAATTGGCCAATTAACGGTGACTGATTGTATTCCGAGTTAACATGGGCTTGTAGCATGTCGGTCACGTGGCTTAGCGTACAACGCGCCCGCGCGCGCGAGATGTGACTTCTGGACTACCCACATTAGAATAAGGGCCGCCATGTTGTGGCCTGGAAACTCAAATGGCCCCTTAGCGGTGACCGATTGGATTTCGAAGTTAGCATGAGTTTGTAGCGCGTCGGTTACGTGGCTCGATTTACAAAGCGCCACCGCGCGCGCGCGCCCGCGACCGCGCGAGCGCGAGTCGTGAATCTTGGGTTACCCACAAAAGAAGGGCCGCCGTGTTGGCCTGTGAACGAAGGTGGCCCTGAGAGGTGACCGACTGCATCTCCAAGTTAACATGTGGTTGGAGCATGTCGACCTTGTGGCTGAGCGCGCAACGCGCCCACGCGCGCGCGGGCGCGAGCTGTGAATTCTGTTGTGCCCACAATAGAAGGGCCGCTATGTTTGCCTGGAAACTCAAGCGGCCCCTTCAGCGGTGGCCGAATGGATTTCCCAGTTAACATGGGGTTGCAGCACGTCGGCCAAGTGGCTCAGCGTACTACGCGCGCGCGCGGGCGCGAGCTGTGCATTCGGCGCGCGGCGGCCGCGGGCCTTTCTGCGTGGGAAATAAACACAATATGCGAGCGCGGAAATACAGCCACACGCATTGTGGCCATGGGCCACTACGTAGGTAGGCGAACATACGGCTGCAAGGGGCAATGCCGCCGCGCGTTAGGGCGGGACACCATATTATGCGCGAGGGGAAAGCGCCGAGGCCATGTGCGGCCCGTGTCCAGCGCAGCCTGGTCGCCCCCGGCCTGGGGCCTGGCCCGGCAAGCAGCCCTGCCCACCCTGACCGGTGCCCAGTGGGCTGGCCCCTCGCCCACCCAATAGCTCGGCTGGTGACCGGCCGGTAGCCCGGCCAGTAAGTCCGCGAACGCGGCGGGCAACCCTGCCGGCAACTCCACGAACCCGGCCGGTAACCCTGCCGGTAATTCTACGAACCCGGCCGGTGACCCGGCCCGGCCGGTAAGCCGGCTGGTAGCCCGGCTGTTAACTGCGCGCCCGGCCGGTAACCCGGCTGTTAGCCCCAGCCCGGCTGGTAACCCGGCTGGTAACCCGGCTGTTAATTCCCAGCCCGGCCGGTAACCCGGCCGGTAGCCCGGCTGGTAGCCCGGCCCTTAGCTGGGCCTTGCAGCACATTCTGTAGCGGAGCTACAGCGCCGCTACATAACGCCGCAGACGGCCGGCCCTTTGCCCGGCCGGCAGCCTGGCTGCAACTCCGCGCACCCGGCTGGTAGCCCGGCTGTTAATTCCCGCGCGCCCGGCTGGTAATTCCGCGCACCCGGCCGGTAATTCGGCGATTTTGGTTGGTAACCTGGCTGGGAATTCAGCGAACCCGGCCGGTAATTGCGCGAGATCGGGCAGTGGCCCGGATGGAAATTTTGC